TATTATCATTATTGCTGTACGATAGTTTATGGAAAGTTAAACATATGCTGTCAAAGTTATATTATATATATATGAGCAGTAGTCATTGCCATTGCCAACGACCAGCTGGGCAAAAATACAATTAATTGTTACTTGGTAAACTTTTTGGGCTTTTGACGGTAATCTCTAGCTTTCGGCACTTCTCTATCGAGCCCTCATCAGGAGCTGAAAACACAATTATGATGCTAGCAACCAATACGGGAAAGATTTAAATTGTCAAACAACTTACTCGTCGTTGAGGTTGCAGCCAAATGGTGTTTCAAAACGAACGCGGGGATGAGAGCACTTGTTACAAATATAAAACCAATCGGAGGGGCAGTTTCTGCTTATTGATATATATATATATATTAAAGTATTTTTCGAAAAAATGAATTGCATTTCAATCACGCTTTAGTACCCTTATAGAAGCATTCAGCCCGCAAAATATTTCTACAAAGTTGTTCCATGGCATGTAATTAAATCAGTCAATTTAACTTTTTTTTTAAATCGTGGGCATGTGCACAATAATTATTGCATGCTGCGATATAAATATCTTGCGACCTGATTGATTTCTATAAGAAAACCACAATCTACGAAACTGCTATTTTTCAAAAAATACTTTTTTATAATAATCCGACTTCCAAACTTTGGCTTAGAGTTTCAGTAAACTCTCTAGAAACGATCCGTATTTATAACTTTCTTTGCAATAACTGGTTTCGTAATAATTTATTGATTATCGTCAGAATGGTGTCAGCAGGTCTGTAGTAAAAATTATACAACTTTCATTCAAAACATTTTGTATAAAAAGATCACCTCGAAAAGCTAAAAACTGTTTTTGGTCATCTTTGACCCCGATTTATGGAAAAAACGCAAGAACGCAAGAAATAAACAGCTGCATTTTAGTGCATCTATCCACATAGTCTTCACCGTGCTGCAATTTTGGCAAACATGTGTGGCATTTTCTGAATTTTACTTGCAACATTGCAGAAAGTATAACCTATGTAAAAATAAACGCCTATAAAGAATCAGGATACTACGAGCCTAGAGATGTTGATTGCATCTCTGAAAAAAAACCCAAGTGGTAACCATCCTTTTTGCAGACTACCGACGTGCAGTAGAATCATTCAAATACGAGCAATGACAATAAAATAACAGCTACGAGACCGATTCGGCAAAAATTTTTACAGTAGCCGCCTACGAGAATGTACTATATGTAAATTTCTCTTGCGATAGTGGCGTTATCGGGTGGTGAAGATAAGTACATATCGGACCATCCTCGTATAATCTATGAAAACCTTTTTATGGTGAGGTTGTATAGAATGTCATTAACTATGTCATATGAGGCCATTTTCCATGTTAACTTGTATTCCATCATTCTATTTCTTTAACTGCTTCCAATATTATCTACCTTGGTTTGGTTCAATGGAACATGATATATTATGAGAGCCACCAGTTAGAAAAGAATACCGTAATATTGATCTAGGCTGGAGTGTCGGACACATACAATGGATATTAGCAATTCACTACCAAATTTGCATAACTGTACTTTTCCAACGATTCACGATTATTGCTTTCCAATACAAATATATGCAGACAACCGGTCGTTAAAAATATTTCGTGTCTAATTCTCAAATTGTCTGAGACAAATTTTAACAATATCTTAGACTGAAGTGACAACAGAAAAAAACTATTGGAAGTACAATAAATGTCTTATGTCAAATCAAGTCGACCAAACCCGTGAGGAGCTGCTAAATAAAGCTGCTTTTTCCCAACATCATGTCTGCTAAGTATCCAAGGATCTCGTACAGCGTAAGGCATTGACTGCAACAAGCAATTCAAAACGCCTAAAACCAAAGTCTCTTAAGGATTCTAGCTTATCTTTGTCATACATCTTTTCCAGAAATCTTATTTCAACAATAAATTGTCAAAAATTAATTCGATTTTTGCTTACTACCAAATAACTGAAATAGACATGTTTGCTTTCCTGTAATTGTGAGCAACCGCAAATAATGTTGTTTCGTGCTCATTAGCAAGTCATCAGTGCGGTATAGGTCTTAGTTCTAGGCTTGGAGACAGACGACATGGAATGGACAAGTGGGTATAGTCTTTTGAAAATTCACACATCGTGTGCAAGTAGCTGGAAAATATGACGCTGGCCACCTCTAATTTTTGTCATCATCCATTATAATAACGGCGACAGACAAACCCTCTCAAGATGATTGTACGGGATAATGATGAAGAATCAGCTTCAGCGGACCATTGGTAGGTGACGATCGTCTTTTCAAGAGTCCATACCAATTTGCTTGCTTTCCATTTTTTCTAACTCCAAGATGAGTCGCTAATAAGTACGAGACAGCGCTGCTTGCAGTTGGTTATGGTTACAGGAGACAGAACGCAAACATGCCCATTTCAACCGTGTCTGTTTATGCATATATGTAAAGACATTAACGGTTTGCCCTGTGATTACGGTGTATTTCGACCACTTGGCAGTTGACAGTGATCGTGTGATACGACATCTCTGCCGTATGAGCCTGAGAGCGTGAGGGTCTCTCTATCGTCTTTATTGATGATGAAAGTTCAGCTTTAAAGCACTATTGGTACGCGGCGATTCCCAGATTTATGACCTACTTGCGCACTTCCCTACCAAATCACTACGATATCTATTATTTAATTTGGCAGTCTTAGATGTAGATGTTAGATTTTACATACTCAGCACAGGAGACACAAGGTAAAATGCAAGCAATTCTGCATAATAAGACAACAAAGATTATATAGCAATTACGAGAGGAATGTCAAGACACCTGCTTATATAAAGCTGAATTTCCAATTTCTCAGAATACAGTACCACACACTGGTTGGGTATGCATCAAACAAAGTCAGCTTATTTCAGTTTCCTTTATGGTTCGTTCTTAGATTCTAAATTAGACTAAGTAGTTTAACTTTGACACTGTGAGATTACACTGTAAGCTGTTGCTTTCTCATAATCAGCACTTTATGTTACTGAGTACGTATTTTCATATAAAATCAAGAAAATAATTACCAAATGTACCTTTACACTGCTAACTTGAAATCGACATTATTTACAACAGAGCTTCACTGCTATTAAAACATTTAACATTTTAGGATATAACTAATAATTTTATTGTTTGCTACAAATTAATACAGGTTGTATTTTATAACTTTGAAAATGAGTAGGAATCGAATGTATCGACGTATCTTCTAGGTTTGTCAGACTCTATCATATGGCAGCAGCGCCCTTCCTTTACGCACCGTAGTGTCATGCAGACACTTCATGTGCTTTGGATAGTGTTACGGGACGTTTGAGAAATTCTCAGATGTGCTATATGACAAACTCTTAACCAAATTAAATGTTTTAATATTGAAATTATTAGTAGTGGGAAAAATCAATACATACCTCCGTGGAGAAGACCATTACTATTACGAGTATGATGGCATACTGGAATTTCTATATTTTGTACCTTATAGGCCACAGAGGCAAGCGAAATGTTAAGAAAGTATTATCTAGAGCTCTCCACAATTATTCATATCATATTGGGTAAGTATGGTGATAGACTCTCTATATGCAAAATTGTTTATGTTTAATGTTCAACGAATGGCTTAGGGACAGGAGAAATCTTATGAAGTCTGCGATTTGAGCTATTGGCCGAAGAGGGAGTAGATAAATGCAAACTTTAGGAATAGACGATAAAGAAACATTTTTTGTTGCGGTTCGATATTTAATGTGATATTTCTGTTATTGTTTTCATTTGATATAGTTTCGTGTCAAATAGGGCATAGTATATGAAAAACAGAAATAATTATTGTACATTCCGTACCTAGGTTGGGAAGTGAGCTATTATCCACCATTAAGCAACTTCATATTCTGAGGCGCATATCCCTGTAATATGTAATGTAATACAATACAGACTGTCCCATGCTTCGATAAAAGAGGATATAACACATTCCGCTAAAATATAGTCTAGGAGCTACAATCTTTTTTACATTTTGCCAAATGTTTGTGATTTCTGAATAAAATAAAATTTGGGTGGAGCATTAAACAATGATGTACCAATTTTGCGGTATTGTGTTTTGTACTTATCTTCTGCTATTATTTCAGATCTTATTGTGGTTTATTTTGCTCTAAAACAAGTATCGCCCTACTGTAGCTGTCGTGAAAATTTCAGCAGCAGTTTTCCACATTACTCAAAAAACTACCTCAGAGGCTAGCAATTGACTATTGGAGACACCTGAACGATTGAACTACAGTAACAACTTCAGATACAACACTGACAGATGCCAACAAACAAGAACGTCAGGGCAGCAGTAACAACAATAAGGCACACCAACAGGCTTTTCGCAGATTGTGAAGAAGCTTCTTATGGTTATGACTTGTATGTCTTTCGAACCATGGCAGACAATTTTAGCATTAACTTTGAGTAAGCTGTTGTTACTAGTCTAAGAAATACTAATAAATACTAAGCAAATATATGTATTCCAAATAAAATCACAAATAATGGCAGAAGATAAGTAAAAAACATAAATTCAGTATATTGCGTTGCTGCCAGTTCTCTACTTAATATCTCTGCCAAATTTCATATGATAGTTTTCAAACAAGCCTCGCTGGCATGACAAACAAAAGAAAAAGTGAAAAGACTCTAGCTCCTAGCGGCGCTGATGTTCAAGCAGAATGAGTTGCTATGATATCTTACATCAAAAAAAAAATTGACCACTATCAATGGGCCTCCCTGAATTTCATATAGTCTATAAAATTTGCACATTTTCCTCCTATTTGAAAATCAACGGTCACGTCATTACATGAACATTTTGCAAATACCTTAAAGCAATCCTTACGTTCAACAGAAAAACTCAAATCTGAGTTTCTGAGGGTGGTAAGGCGGTAGTTATACTATTTATCTTCACACTTGTTTGATGTATATTACTTTCGAAGGAGCTCAGTAAGCTTAATTTCCTCAAATCCTTACCAAAGAAGAACCTGGCCACAAACAAATACACCATGGTGTCAGCAAATCCAACGATGATCCAACATATCAGATTGACAACTGCAGCTAGTAGCAGCGATTTCTTACGCCCGATCTTGTTGACGAAGTAGATGGTACCAGGCAGGCCGAAGAACGACCCTACCATCAGGGCGGTTTCCAGGTACTCTGCTTCATGTAGCGTGGTCTTGATGTGGCTTTCTTCGCTCACTAAATAGGGGATGATGGGGGATGTCCAGCCGTAGTTCATGCCATCACAGATGGCAAATAGTGTTCCTGGTGGATAAAGTTTCAATTAATCTTCACAGGAATATCTACACACATGCGCTTTTCTTTTCTCTTTCAAGTTTAACACGACTAAGAGTGAGCATGTGTCTAAAGCGTGCCTTTTACGGTGTCAAATTCCAGATTGATATCGACTAATTGGATGCCTCTAGAGGCATGGACTGAAATATATGTGATTGTGGCTATTGATGAAACAAATACGATATTTAGTTGATATGATGTTTGGACCAACTGAATTAATTTCCATTCGACAAAAAGGATTATATAGGCACAGTTATACAGTTTGAACGTGAATTTCAAACCGACAAAATTGGACCTTGCTATGGATGATGTTTTCTTTTTTGCCCAATGCGTGAGCGGCAATAGATTCAGTTCCCCCCATTATCACTTCGCTCCCCGCAGTTGCAATGACTAACGCAATTGAAGTTGCTAGCGACTGAGAAAGAGGATTCGTACGAATGTGGAACTCCTTATGACTGGATCATGACTTAAAATAGGCGCCTAGGTCTTTACAAGTTATACCTACCACTTAAAAAGATGGATATGACCACATTTTATTAATAGAATAGAAACTAAGCTAACTGTAACGGTTGGAAGCGATTGGTGGGTTGAGACAAGAGACAAGTCGAAGCTTTCGTTAGAGAAGTTTCAGATCACAATGAATAATATGTTGGTCTCTTTTAAAACGCATCAAATATAAATATCAGTACCTCAATCGGAATTAAAACCTCTCCAAGCAATAGATCTTTTCTGGGCTTATCAAATGTAAAGACGTTAGTTCTGAGCCTAGGCCTAACAACAGACATCCCAGAACAAAGGAATCATGTTTAGTTTATTCAATGGCAAGTAGACCAAACGTAGTATGCATCATCTAACGGTCACATGGTGACTGGTCTATTGCACGCAAATTTACACCATTATATTTCCAACAAATAGTATCTATGTGCTCTTCGCAGAGGCCGATTCTGGTGATAGATGGACTTCTTTGGATAAAGTGTGCCTCCTGGATAGAGGACACTTGCGAAGCTTTCGTTCGCTGTCACAGAGGCGTGAGGCCAAGCCTAGACTATGCTGAGGCGTAACCAAGAAGCACGGAACAGCTGTCTATGATTGACTGTCTTTCAGACGGAAGGACGAAAGTATCATGCTTAATAGTATATTTACTTGAAAACTTTCGTATTGCTGTGAGCTAGGATTAGAATTCTAATGTCAACAACCGATGTCAAGAAATTAACGGACCGCATTATCAGAATAATGATGCGGACGACTCGCCGCCTCGTCTCTGTCATTGAGTTCGATGGATGTAAGTAGTAGTATTTAAGAAGGAATAGGTCATCGCATGGCAATAACTAGGACTTTTCAATAATTGGTTTTACAAGGAGCATGGCGTTCCATTGTTGACCCACCTTATATGTACATACAAATATTGTTATTCAGGGAAACCATCGAAACATATACATAAATTCTATCTCCACAATATATTTCAACGCGATGTTTAGACTGGTTTTTACCGGACTTGCATTATCAGTAATAGATCTCACTAAATAAGAGCTTTTATCGACATTATTAAACAATGCAATCGCAAGCGGTAATTTGTCTATCTCTTTCTAAAACGTGTACGCAATGGTCACACATCATTCCATGAATAGCCGCACCGGTAATTTTTATTACACAGGAACGAACACGGTACGACTAATTTCGCGAACAATTTAACAAAGTGATAGTATACCATTTTGTTTAATTTTTTGCACAGAGGATTCGATCGTTGCTGCATCTTTAGTACAGAGAAACTACTATTGTTTACTAGCAGTAATTGAAAGATGGAATCATGTTTGACCTTAAGCTTTTATTTGGCCTTTAATAAAAATAAATGAAAATTGGAAAATAATTTACTTATACCAGTGATTCTACCTAAAGATAGCCAATCTGATGCTGGCTCTCTTAAGAGACCGCTTATATGGCCATATTTTCTCAAATTATTTATTCGTCTGCAACATGAATTTTGAATTCTTTGTAAACGTGAAAGAGATATTTTGTCTAAAAACGGATTGTAAACTATATGACAGTGAGTAATTTTGAACATAATTAATGATTTACAAAAGTTTTTTTTTAGTTTGATAATTGGGAATTTGTTTATTTAGATATAATTGACGTAGGATCGGAAAGCAGCTTTTAGTAACTTTGTTTACATGAGGTATGAATTTGAGACACTCATCAAAAAGAATTCAAAGGTTTTTGACTGCTTCGTTAATTCCGATAGTAGCACCATTTAAGCTAACATTAAAGTTTCAGGTGAAAAAATAATCACTTTTGATTTTGAAGGGCTTAGTTTCAGGTTATGATTTTTTGCATATGCACTAATTAATTTTATATCTTCATTAATTCCATTATATGCCCATCTAGTCTGATACAATTGGCTAAAGCGCCATCTATGAGACACTAACTTTTTCAAAGTAGATTTCTAATTATTGCGGAGAGGAAAAACATGGTTGCTGTCATAGCCCACGCCCTGGGAGGGCATTCTCGTATCTCGTATGCAACATATTCCCACATGCGACACTGGAATTTTATTTTTGTAATTCTTGTCATCGTTTGTCACTGCGTAAGCTCAAGTTAAGTATTTGATATTAGCAATCTGATATCAAGTCAAGAGTTTTGCTGCCTGTCCAGTACTTAAAATTTCAAGTAGTCCTGATATTGCTTGATAATTTTTGTAATATAGTATACATACACAAAGGAAATGATTTACTTGTCACAAGTTTCACAAAAAGCAATACCTTTTGAGCAAAATAATTTGTTCATCGTATAGCAACTAATAGAACGATAAAACTGCGAAGAAAGAAAAAACATTTCTTCATCAGCTGATACAAAAGAATGAAAGATCCTAAATTTGCTTTTTATTCGCTCGCCACCAGCTAACACATGAGCATCCTAACGGATTTATACTGGTGGTAAAATTAAAAATAGTGATAGTGATAACTGATCGGATTTTGAAATACACTCTTATATGATAATAATTGTTAAGTTGTGTCTGTTGTACAACATGTATAATAGCTAAAGATGTTTCGCCATTATGTTTTGTTCTTGTAAATCATCTAAAATTATCCGTTGAGCTGTTTCTTTTTTGAAGCAGTTTAATTTTAATTTTGTTTTTATATTTATAGGATACCTGTGTTGTGTGCCTGCGCTATACGAGATATATTTTTTATAGATAGCGCTGCGTAGTCCAACAAACCCTTGACCGTCCGCCGATCTTGAGCTGGCCCTGATTTTTTCTTGCTACCGCTTTTGTCCTTGAATCTGCTGCATTTCAACGGCACTACGTCCCAGTTCCGTGTTTTTTGGTTTGGCATCGCTTTGGCATGACAATTTTCGATTTTATACGTGATTATTTGCATTAAATTACAAAATATGGCTCATTGGTTATACAGATAAATATCAATGAATGTCTTTAGTAAAACAAAAATTTAATGTGCCGTCAAGTATCAAGTAAGTAGTTTGAAAATGCTTACGCTCAAGTCAAGTAAAACGATAAAAAGTCAGGTCTGGCATTAATGTTTCAAGTAATTTTATTTGCAAGTCAAGTATGTAATAAAAATATCACGCCACTTGACTTAAAGAATCCTTAAGCTGTATGATTTTGATTCATGTCTTGGAAAATATCGTAACAACAATGGAGAGAGAGAGAGAGAGAGAGAGATTCCGAGGATGAGATCCTAATTTAAGACGCCATATCTGCTGTCACCGAGTTCATTGTATCTGAAGAATTTATACACTTTCCCCGCTAATTTCAACACCTCATGGCCAATGTCCAACAGCTGACTGGTCAATTCATCATCAAAAAGCACTTTTAACATCGAAAGTCTGAATAAACCTACGGTCACTGTCTTCGTCATATATGTAATATGGCAGTCACCACCATATTTCAAATAGTAATAGAAGGTTTTAGTTTAAATGACTATGGTTTTTAAGTGGTGGTACAGAAGTTATATTCATGGAATTAGGCAGGCTATAAAATCAAGGTTTATCTCCCCCGGAAGTGTTACTTTTATTATAAATTCACTATGCAGTTATTGCAAAATATGTCAGTCAGCTTACCCACAATAGCTGCGAAAACTTGTGTCCAAGTTCCGGTAAAGAGTCCTTCTTTACCGCTGGAATTCTGGGCAGTTTTCATGACTTGCGTTGGTCAAGGTCTATCTAGTTGAAATAAGTCCGTAGTTTCTCGAGACAGACAATGTTGCTAGTTTAATACAAAGTAGTACATTCTGCTGTAGTCGCCTACATATTGGTAACTTCAATAAGCAATTCTGAAATAAAGGTTAACGTTATGTTTAAACAAATTCTATTGTTAACTATGTGTTATGATTTAGAATGTGAAGAATTTATGGAAAGCCTTAAAAAACAATTTTTGTGCCACGTTAGATTTGTGTTAAATGCAAAGCCTTCGCCCATATATAGACCTAGGTCATTAGAAAGGTTGAGAAACCGTTTGAAGAAGGTCAGAAAGAAAATTAAAATATACTGTAGTTACATCAATCACCAAGTTAAATCAACAATCCTTAGACCACTAGCATCATCTGCACAAATTGCTTCGTAAACAATTTGAGAAGCAAGAAAGTCAATCTTTGACACCTAGCTGAGTCACGGACCTATGGAGGTAAAAAAAATGGCGTCGATCCAACGCTGCATTTCTGTTCATGATTATGTTCATCAGACGTTAGATACAATAAAGAGGTAAACCACGAACATGTATAAAAAACGGATTAAATAGACCAAGTCAGTCAAATAGGCCCATAGGCCACAGTCCCCATACACTTAACAAGAAACGGCAACGCTGTGATCAGAACTGAGATTACTAAGCCGTGGTGCGCTCGACGCAGTTATAGAAAATATTTTTAATTTAAGACATAAGGCAACTATACTGGGAAATCTAGGTGAGGAATATGTCTAATAGGCGCGTATAATTACCGGGACTAGAAGCATATAAGTGTATAAACGCCAAAAAATAGAGACATGTCTTGCCCAACTCCAGCAAACCCCATCCCCCATTTTTCAATAGAAAGCTCCAATAATGAGCAGGAATCTCTGGAACGTCAAAAAACTAAGTGGGATGACCGAACAACTTTCAATTTTACAAAAGACCATATCCAACTGTTTGCTATCCGGTTATTTTTCTCCAATACCCTACATCTGTTACTAAAGAGCACGAAACAACGCTGTCTACAAGCTAACATATTTAGTTAAGCCAGCACTTTTCAAGTAATAGAGGTGTCAATAATTAACAAACAGACAGACCAACCGACGGACATGAAGTGAGATGCTTTTTCGTCCCGCAACGTTAAAAAAAGACAATATCTTTCATGGTGTATATAGAGATGGCTAAAAAACAAGGTTAATAATTTTTTTGTAACAAATGCATTTTTTGCATTTTATCATGCATTTTGTCTTCAAGTGGATCTTGTTAACAAATATTGGTACATCTCTAGAATTGTATGTCAAAATTCCACTTTTTTCAAAAAAGTTAAGATTTTTTGAAGAGACAAAGTGATAAGTAATCAACCGCTAAATTCTTCCATAAAAGTATATATATTATTCAGATACAATTTCAGAGCTGTACTACTATTTCTAACAAGATACGACTGAAGTAAAAACGAACATTTTTGACAAAAAAAAAACATAACGCTACTACGAAAATTATGGATTTACGATAAACAAGTTACGGTTTGTATTGTTTATAGGCCTTTTTTAAGGGATAATTAAAAAACAAGTTTGCTATGAAAATACGCTACAGCAATGGGAAGTTAAGTTAGAGTGGTATCATAAATCTTCACAATATGCTTGTCTAATGGCCGCTTTACATAATCAAATAAATTCATGAATAAATTATCAGAAAATTTATTAATTTTTTCGAGGCAACAGTGAGCGGAATTATATTATCAAATTTATTCAAGTCAAGCATACCAACACAAATAGCAACTTCCTGTGATACCAACCTCAGGGGAAAAATCTCAATCAGCAGATGACATTTCTTCATATTCTTACATACTGATTGTTACCGTTGAAATATCAAATCCTAAATTAAAACCATAGCGCCAAGCCACACCGTGAAGACTATAATTTTAGTCCCAAATCACAAGACGTGAACGCTTCAAATAACAAAGGTCAGCATCTAGGAGAAAGAATTCTCAAAAAAAATGATGGAATGATTGGAACAAGGTCTAATATGTCGATTTATTCATGGATTTGTTGTTGTAAAGAAATTGACAGCAATTTTTATATTCATACGCTCCAACTTCATCAGGGTCAAAAAGTTGTTCAATATTTTGGATCGTATAAAGCGGCTAAAAAAGCGATTCTCCCATAAGACTTTTATTAACTTTCCGCGAGGTTTCAAGCTTTCTGATTGCAAATTCGTTATGAATGCTCTTTCAAGTAGGTACTGTTTCTTTGCTGGCTGACAAAATTATATCTATTGAAATAACCTATAGGCGATGTTTAATCTGGTGAAGCTTTCTGATTGTTCAAATATTAGGCTAGGATAATTTTTCTTAGCTACCTTAAAAAGATGTTGCAACATCATTCGATTTGGAACGCCAGTAATGGAAACTGGACTCTTATAGTCTTTCACATAAACGTTCTACCCGTCAGTAGCGAGCATCGTCTTCCAACACTACGAAGGTTCTTGGCACTTAATATTCTCCATGCATAAATTGAACTTGTGCTGATAAGCACGCTGTAGTGAAACATGGGACCGCGTGCTTTCTGTACTAAATCCTGAGAAATAAATAGTAAATTTTGAAAAAATAGTCACCTTATAAGTAATTGAAAAAAAAATGGAGCACATAATCTAATTCTGATTATTTGGTTACAATTCATAACCTTGAAGCAGGGCTGTGCTTGTAACATTCCAATTTTCTCCAAAAATCTAAACTTTGGGCCTGCCAAGTCTTCGTAGTACCACAAGAGGTGCACTGAGGTTTCCTTTTGCTCTCTGTGGGAGCAGCAAGTACCCCTTCGTGCTGAGCTCAAGAGTCTCATACTATGTAGGCTTAAGCAACAGTGTCATGTTAGTGTTAGAGGATCTGTTGAATCTGAACAGGTTATCTGAAAATGCAGCCTTTAGATACTTTTTCTTGGTTCATTCTTTTATGGATTGTCTTATCCGTACTCCGAGCACTCCAAAGATATGTTCTGGACCTGGCCTCGCTACAGAAGACAACTCACAGCGTAACACAAATCAGGCATTGAAAACAACATAGGTACTTCTCAAAATATAAAGGATCTGAAGCTTTCCCATTTTTGGTGAGAAGTAGAAATCTCTATATAGCCTACCTGAATTTAACTTCACAATTTCAATCTCCACTCAGTTCACATAAACCAACTTCACACCAGTCACTGACTTCGATTCACAAATGAGATAGTTCTTGTCAGAGTGGTACCGATATTAACGATCGATTAAATTCAAATCGTACTATTCGAGGACGATCCATTGGATCCTCGTACGGCTGGTTCCCCGTGTATGTATCGTCTGCCGGATTCGCGACAACTGTTGGACGGCACATTTTTATTTGGAGTACCTTTGACGTTACCGCCACATTATTCTGGCTCGGCTTATCTTTTCGTATGTCGGCGGTTCTTTTTTTGAATGGCGAATATGGCGGTTGACAGGTGGAAAGATTTTGGAGACCTTGAGCTAGTGATTTTTTTCTAATGACTTGGTTCCGCGGATGGTACCAGAACACACTCTCGCATTATGGGTATTAAGGTCGATCAGTAGAGCTTACTATTTGCAAAAATATTTACTGTAAGTTATTTGTACGCTAGGAACGAGGCAATGCTAAGGTTTTGAGTTTAGTAGAAAGAGGGTATATTTTAATCCCATGTCTTCGACCAAGAAATGGGGAGACTTCGTATCAGGAAATCCTACAATTCAAAATTCACATTCAAATTCCTTTGTTAGTTCCGAACATTAGATATAAGTATAGAGAGGAAACGTCATAAGTATCACATATAATACTTCTAAAAAGTAAAGGCGAACTAAAAAACAAACTAACAGAACAACAGACAAACTGAAAACATAAAATTAAAAAGCGCATGTGAATGCCAAGTTAATGGACCTCCTGACAATTGAGGTGTTTCAGGAAAAAACAACATTTGTCAGAAAACAAAAAATGTGGCAAATTAAAAAAAACATTTTTCAGTATTAAGGCCATGAAAGAAGGCGTCTTATATATTTTGAGGTGTATTTCAAGAAAAAAAAACGGATTTGTGAATAAAATAAAATACAAAAACGTGGTGACAAATGTTGTTTTTTAGGAATTTTTTAGAAAGAGGCTTGTAAACCAAGAATATTTTTTATATATCTATATTTATTGAAACGAAACTAATTTCAGAAAAAAACAACATATTCTTCAAACGTATTCTAACAGTATTTCAGGAAAAAAACATATTCTAACTGTATAACAATATTTCTATTCTATGTCACTATTTCCACTGCTGTTGTCGTCATTGTCTATTTCTGCATCATTGTCTTCAGTATCTTGTTTATGAGTATTTAACAACCTTTTATAAAACATTATATGTTCAGGTTGTTTAATATACTTGGTAAATTTAATAGATGCTCAATTTTGGATTGTTTTAGTGAAACTGATTCATTGTAGTTTTGCGTCAAACGAATTTCTCTTGGCAATGATTTGTTATTTCGTATGTAACTACGTTCCCATTCTCCAGAATAACTTTGCCTTGCTAGTACATATCCTGGTTCATTTCTGTCATACTTAAGCATTCTTGCTGTTTTTTACCGATGATTTTGGGTTTTTTATGGAGAAATATTGCTTGATAAATCAAATATCATGTTTGAGTTTACGTTAACAAGTTCATATCGGGATGGTTTTTCTCGTGCTTCCTTTATAATCTTGTCCCATCCTGAAGGTACTTCGACGGTTGCAGTTTTCTTGTGTTTCTCAATGATAGAAAAATCTCTGTCATTTGATAAAAAAGAATGTCCTGTAACTGGAAATATGTGAATAATACTTTCGAACATCTGCAAACAGTGAACTAACACATACAAAAAACGCATGAGAACATAATTTTTATTTTGCCCAGCACACTCATCGCTGAGCAATATTAATTGTTGTGTGATAACTTCATGGCTTTTTAAAAACTGAAAAAGTAGAGAAGCGACATCATTTTGCCCTTTTTTCGCAACAGTTTCGTCATAGCAGTACATTGTTGCATTAACATTTCCCTCATTATGTATTCCAAAAACATAGTACCACATCTGAATGGCGTAAAAAACTTCATTTGTGCGAATATGGGAAACTGGTAAGTTCTGCATAAAATCGAAAGATATGCAACAATAATCGTCAGGATTTTGCCTAGCTAAATTTCGGTAAGGCTTCTTTAGCTGATAAAACTTTTCGGCTTTACATAAATGTAGATTTTTTTAAGTCTTTAAATTTGCTTTTTTTTCTATGTCTGTTTCGAGGTTTATTTGTTGCATTAAGTTGTCGCCACAAGTATCACTTTTTGGAATACCAAACTTCAACTTAAAATCTCTTGTAAAAACCTGCCAATGAACTTTATAAGTGACTCGCATATATGCATTTTCTTCACAAAACATTTTATACATTTTTTGCAACTTAAAGTTTCTGGTAAGTATTATACCTTTGGATTATCTCTGCGAGAATAATGAGACTGTCGACACTTACAAGATTTTATATGATCACGAATAGTAGTGTACACTCTTCTGTCAGTTTTCCGAGATCTATTGGCATGATGACCCACCCCGTCTGTCCTTTGGAGACTTTCGTGTTTTTACAAGACATAACCTTATTCGTCGCAATCTTTCTTTTGAGATTCCATATATGCTACAAAATGCTTTGGCACACACCAGCACTTCATTAACCCCATCTCTTATTTTGTATTTACAAGAAGCTAGATGTTGATGTTTTTGTAGTAAAGGCTCATCCACAGCATCTTCATGATTTTCATTATCCTGTGGCTCATCTTGATGTCTTCTACAACGACGTCTTTGCCGTGGGGGGGCAAATGATAATAATCCTAAAAAAATGTATTATAAGGTACCTACTATTAAAGCAGTGGGCATCTTTAGATTCCAGCATATTGAATTTGGTTAAAGTTGTATTTCTTTTGTGTTCTGTAATCTTCTCGAAGCATTTTAATCGAGCACATTTATGAAATATTTATTATTTAAACAAAGCTATAAAATATATTCCTAAAGTCATAACTAACCTGCAATCTGGCTCAGTAACTCTAGCTTGCTTGGCTATTCCCTTATTATTAAAAAAAGGTTCACCTTTAACCCTGGCTACTTTGTCCAATGTCCTTTTATTGGTTTTTGACTTCTTTCTTTCTTTCTGGTATTTCAGTATTGTTCGCTGGATTTTGTCTTTCATATTCCATATTTGTGATAATAAAATAATATTAAGTTGACACAAGACACGTTTAACCAACAATCAACCTAACTTTGTATAATATAACGTTTCTCAAAAAACAACACATGTCATTGACAAGTGTTGTCTTTATGGGAAACCTATGTTGACTAATGTCATTCTTATGGAACCGACGATTCTTTAAACGCATTTTAGACGGAGATATGTGCTTTTGACGGGAAACTTAAACATCAGAAAGCAGCATTGAAACATGTAGAACACAACAGCGTCGCCAACTCAATTTCAACAAAAAGTGACTAATGTTGTTTTTCCCGGAAACACCTCAATTGCATCATTTCAGGTCCTTCAAAAACGCAAGAAACTCATCTATGCTGTAAAAGAGCATCCTCTTAAGGTGCTTTTTGAAGAGCATAACATTATCTGTTTGTTTAAGAAATTCTGGTAAATTATTGTATCTACTTGTACCAGCATATCTAGGCGACTTTTCGTGAGTAGTTAAGTTATACTTACCTAAGCAAAATTGGTTCTTATTCCGCGTGTAATAATCATGAAAATGTGAGTTTTTTTGGAAAGAGCATTTGTTTTTATGAGTATAGGATAGTAGTTATTGCAAATAAATTGAGGAGACGGCAAGAGTTGATATTTCTTGAAATAGTCTCTACAGAACGCCCTGAACGATAAATTGAACATGTTTCTAATGACTCTTTTTTGTGTGATGAAGACTCTGTCGATAGTTGAGGCCTGTCCCCAGACAACAATATTTGCGACATTAGATTTTTCCTGTTATCGTTTGGTTTTTGTTTCCTAATGATAAGCTCAAATTGGCGTGATGATAAGTCTGGAACTTCGTCGCCATTTCTATAAAAAATCTCTAAAATCGTCGATCGAATGTAAGAAAGTAACAGAAACAATTTTGTAGAGAATTAAGCTATGTAATATTTTGTTTTTTATTAAAATTTGTCGTATAGCAATGGTGGAGCAGGGGGGTGGGTAGTAGTGAACTGACAATATTATACTAAATGACATAAAAATGTGACACCGACTAGGAGTGCTGTAATTTTGAGCATACTTTTACAAGTTTTAGTCCTACTAATAAACAGAAGGTGACTAAAATTTTAACTCGAAATTTCGCAAAATAGCTGAGATATTCCACTTTAATGTTAATAATGTGGTGAAGCTTCCCTGTTTGCTACACATTCGTTAAGTCGTCGCGGCATTGATTCGATTAAGTGATTGATGTCACTTGCTGTATTGTATTCCAGGCCATCTGAATTTGGTTCCGTAGAGCCTCCAATGTTTGTGGAGGGTGCGGCGACTTTTGCAACCGTCTTCCCTTTAGATGAGGGAAAGGTCTAAGAGATCGAGGAGGCTACTGAAGCATGTTTACTGCGGACGCTTCTAAAAAGTCTAAACTAACAGTCATACTCTCTTGAATTAACACTAATCGTGACCTGCTGCCGTAAGCAGTGGCACCCCATACTATAACACAAACAGTGCGATGAATATGCCGTTCGATGGAATATTGGACGTTCCGTAATTCACCACGTCTCCTTACTCTTGCATGACCAGCATGAAAGCCGAAACAGAATCTGGACTCATCGCTGAAACGACGAATTCCATTCCATATCCTATTAAAGTATCTCCCTACTCTATACCAATCGCTGCCGACGATGTTGTGGGGTCAGAGGTAGTACAAGATGGGGAGGGTATGAAAATGATCCAAAAGACCTTATTCGGCGATAAACTGTCTTCATTGTTATTATAATAATAACATTCTGAAGTATTTGCATCACTACCTGATACTAAGTTAAGATTCAAAAGTCACGTCTAGCATATAAAACATGTTCTGCTATCTGTACAGCAGCCTTGCTTGGATCAGCTCATTATAAACCGTTTGCTAGTAATTCAAAGCATTTGTGTCAGATTCACGTGTGGCTCAAGAAAATACAGCCATGTTAGCCATACTTACAACAAGCTCAGTTGGATGTTTTTAACTACTTTTTATTATTTTGTATTTCTCCATAAACTGCTCGCAACTAGTAAACATGAAAATCTATCAGAAAAACTTACTTTTTTCTAGTGAAATTCACAACGAAACCCTTAGATACAAATATACATTGATTTTCACACATATCACATTACTGCATCTCGCTTTCCAAACGTTTATTTCCCTATAAAGCTGCTAGTCTCTATAATAGTATTCCTGTTGACTATAGCACCATGAGTCTGTCTTGTTTCCATAAGCAAGGTTGTATTTAGAAAGCACTATGTTATAATTTTTCATTTCTTAGTTCAAATTTTTATTCTCTAATAATAGGGATATAAG